CCTCCGGACCCTTGCTTGCGCGCCCCTGCGTCAAATACCCGACGGACCGCGAAACCAATTCTCCGTGGTGTATGACTTACTTAATGCCAAAATTTTTTCCTAGGACCCTACGGCGTGGATTCAATAGCTGCTCGACTCGTTATATCCTTTTGCTTCCCTTTATATAATATTTATTTAATTTGTGCAACGATTCCCTGGTTCGTTGGACACAACGCCACCCTTGATGGACACAGGTACAACGCAACCAGCTCTCCAAAATCTACGCTGCACTTTTCTCTTTTCATCAAATCGTTAACGAGAAAATCGCTAACTACTTTCAGCACTATATATCGCTTATAGAGCAACGTGAGAAAAAATGAATAATTTGTGCAGCGATTCCCTGCTTCGGTGGACACAACGCCACTCTTGATGGGCCCAGGTAGAACCCAACGAGCTCTGCAAAGTCTGCATTTCATTTTTCTCTTTTCACCGAATCGTTAATGAGAAAATCCTAATTACTTTCAGCACTATAGATCCCTCATACAGCAAAGTGAGAAAAATTGAATACTTTCTGGAACGATTCCCTGCTACGGTGTACACAACACCATTCGTGATGGACACTGGTAGAACCCCAGCAGCTCTGTAAGATCTACACTTCCCCTTTCTCTGTTCATCTAATCGTTAGTGAGAAAATCACTAATTACTTAAAGCACTATATATCCTGTATAGAGCAAACCGAGAAAAATTGAATAATTTGTGTAACGATTCGCTGCTGCCGTGGACGCAACGCCACACTTGATGGAGCCGGGTAGAACCCAACGAGCTCTGCGAGATCTGCACTTCACTTTTCTCTTTTCGTCAAATCGTTAACGAGAAAATCGCTAACTACTTTCAGCACTATATAACCCGTATAGAGCAACGTCAGAAAAATGAATAAATTGTGTAACGATTGGCTCCTTCGGTGGACACAACGCCACTCTTGATGGACTCAGGTAGAACAAAACGAGCTCTGCAAGATCTGCACTTTATTTTTCTCTTTTCATCAAATCGTTAATGAGAAAATCCTAATTACTTTCAGCACTATATATCTCCCATACAGCAAAGTGAGAAAAATTGAATACTTTGTGGAACGATTCCCTGCTTCGGTGTACACAACGCCATCCGTGATGGACACCGGTAGAACGAAACCAGCTCTACAAGATCTACACTTCCCCTTTCTCTTTTCATCGAATCGTCAATGAGAAAATCCCTAATTCCTTTCAGCACTATATATCCCTCATACAGCAAAGTGAGAAAAATAGAATAATGGGTGTAACGATTTCCTGCTTCGGCGTACACAACGCCACCCTGGATGGACCCTGGTAGAACCCAACCAGCTCTACAAAATCTACACTTCACCTTTCTCTTTTCGTTGAATCGTTTATGAGAAGGTCGCTAATTGCTTTCAGCGCTATATATCCCGTATACGGCAAAGTGAGAAAAGCATAATTCATTGTTGGCCGTGCCGCGGAGGAGAATGCAAGTAACGTATAAAACGCTACGTAACAATATCCCGCATACAGCAAAGTGAGAAAAATCGACTAATTTGTGCCACGATCTCCTGCTTCGTTGGACACAACGCCACGTTTGATGGACACAGGTAGAACCCAACCAGCTCTACAAAATCTACACTTCACTTTTCTCTTTTCATCGAATCTTTCATGAGAAAATCCCTAATTCCTTTCAGCACTATATATGGTTAGGAAGATTAGAAAATATCATTCTCTCACGAAATGTTCTCGTTCTCTGATGTAAATATCTTTGTTAATAAAACATGAAAACATAATTCATTGTTGGCGCTGATACAAAGGAGAATACAAGTTACGTATAAAACGCTACGTAACAACTGGGGGTTCTACCAATTGAACTCTTGGATTCAAGTAAGTGTATAAATTATTAGTTAACAGTCCTTTGTGAGGCTGGACACCCGAAAAAGAACAGCAACTCAACGACAACCAGCAATTCATCAACACGGGCAACAGCAAGAAGAGAAGAAACATCAACAAGAAGATCAGAAACAAATGGCATTGAGTTTGCAGAATTTGTTATTATCAAGTTTAACACCCTCACCGACATCAGAACTCCAATCGTTTTGCGAATTACTACCCTTCACTGGTGAGGTTGGTCAAAATGTAGTCCATTGGCTTATGGCTTTCAATGAAGCCTGGTCAACAGCTGGCATTGACGAAGATCAACATCGATTATGGCTTCGGTTCAAATTACAAATCCACAATCCGCAACACCAATTCAGTGAAGCTGCACCTGCCACTGAGCACACCTTATTAATCAATCAGTAAAATCTACTGATCCACAGCCTAAATCGGCACTGCAACCGAAACAACAAAACCAACAGTGCCTCGAACCACAACGATAACAAATAAAAAGCGAAAAGCACCACCTACAAAAGGTGCTTCAAATGCAACATCAAAAATCACGGAGAGAATCATCATCGAAAAAAGTAAAAGTGATGAAGTTGAAGAGGTTAAAACGCCTGGACATGAATATGCGGGTGAAGAAGACGAAGCCATGAAAATGGTAACTTTTTAACTGCACTAGTATTCAATGTCGCTGATACAGCGCCAAATATTGTGGAGAAAATAACAAACCTATTTACAACCAATAATGATGAGAAAATTGAAGATCATAAGAAAGAAGACTCCAATAACGCCGAACAAAATACCATTGATGTTAAGCAAGATGCTGAAGAACATGGAGAAGAAACACGCGGTTATACATTTGACGAAAGATAAGAACAAAAGGCAAAGAAACTAAATCAACAGCATGATCAAGAGGATAAAATTAATTCTTTAGCTGATCCAGGTTTAATGGTACCATGAAAAGATTTTCAAAGAAATGAAGAGAAAATCGAACAAATAGTGAATGAAGACACACCAAATACAATGGCAGCTGAAGATTTATTAAAAACAAAACCGTTGGAATTGCCTCTAACCCCAAAGGTGTTAGGAAACGTAGAAAATCTCATTCTCCGACGTAATGCGTTCTCGGATGTAAATACCTTTCGTCACTGAACAAGCTTTTGTTAATAAAACATGAGAAACAAAATTCACTGCTGGCCCTGACACAAAGCAGAATAGAAGTAACGCACAAAACGCTGCGTAACAATATACAATACAAACCAGCTCTACAAAATCTACACTTCACTTTTCCCTTTTTATCGAACCGTTAATGAGAAAATCGCTAATTCCCTTCAGCACCATTTATGCCATATGCAACAAAGTGAGAAAAATTGAATAACTTGTACCACGATTCCCTGCTTCGGCGGACACAACGCCACTCTTGATGGAACCCAACGAGCTCTGCAAAATCTACACTTCACTTTTCTCTTTTCATCGAACCGTTACTGAGAAAATCGCTAATTCCTTTCACCACTATAAATCCCGTATAGAGAAGAGTAAGACAAATTCAATAATTTGTCCAACAATTGGCTGCTTTCGTGGACACAACGCCAGTCTTGATGGGTTCTACCTGTCGCCATCAGGCACGAAAAGGGAAAAGTGAAGTGCAGATCCTGCACAGCTCGTTGGGTTCTACGTGGGTCCGTGAATGGTGGCGTTGAGCATAGCGAAGAAGCGTACCCTTGCACAGATTATTCAATTTTTCTGACCGTGCTGTATACGGGATATATGGTGCTGAAAGCAATTACCGATTTTCTCATCAACGATTCGATGAAAAGAGAAAAGTGGAGTGTAGATACTGTGGAGCTGGTTGGGTTTTAGCTGTCAGTGAAAATTTTGTTATTTATCGATCATTGTGAAAATGCTTTAACGTAGTTTTGATCTCCTATTAACTCACGTCACATGGTGAAAAACTGTGAAACACTCTAATCAACGCAGACCTTCCTTGTCTATCGAATGAGATGCTTTACGATATCCATTATGTTTGACGAAATTTTGAAAAGCAGCGAAAGTCTTGTTACTTATCGGTCATTGTGAAAATGCTTTAAAGTAGTTTTGATCTCTTGTTTAGTCATGTCACATGGTGAAAACCTGTAAAACAGTCTAATCGATGCAGGATTCCCATGCCTATCGAGTGAGATGATTTACGAAATGTGTTATGTTTCACGAAATTTTGAAAAGCAGTGAAAATATTGTTATTTATCGATCATTGTGAAAATGCTTTAAAGTGAGTTTGATGTCCTGTTTGGCCGAGTCACATGGTGAAAATCTGTAAAACAGTCTGATCGATGCAGAATTTCGTTGTCTATCGATTGGGTTGACTAACGACGTGTGTTATGTTTGACGAACTTTTGAAAAGTAGTGGAAATATTGTTATTTGTCGATCATTGTGAAAATCCTTTAAAATACTTTCGATCTGCTGTTTAGTCATGTCACATGGTGAAAATCTGTAAAGCAGTCTAATCGATGCAGAATTTCCTTGTCTATCGAATGAGACTACCTACGATATGTGTTATTTCTGACGAAATTTTGAAAAGTAGTGAAAATCTTGTCATTTACCGATCATTGTCAAAATGCTTTAAAGTACTTTTGATCTCCTGTTTAGTCATGTCACATGGTGAAAACCTATAAAACAGTCTAATCGATGCAGAGTTCCCATGTCTATCGAATGAGATGATTTACGATATGTGTTATGTTTGACGAAATTTTGAAAAGCAGTGAAAATATTGTTATTTATCGATCATTGTGAAAATGCTTTAAAGTGAGTTTGATGTCCTGTTTGGCCGAGTCACATGGTAAAAATCTGTAAAACAGTCTGATCGATGCAGAATTTCGTTGTCTATCGATTGGGATGACTTACGACGTGTGTTGTGTTTGATGAAATTTTGAAAAGTAGTGAAAATCTTGTCATTTAACGATCATTGTCAAAATGCTTTAAAGTACTTTTGATCTTCTGTTTAGTCACGTCACATGGTGAAAATCTGTGAAACAGTCTTACGATGCAGACTTTCCTTGTCTATCGAATGGGATGATTTACGATATGTGTTATGTTTGTCGAAACTTTGAAAAATGGTGAAAATCTTGTTCCTTATCGATCATTGTGAAAATGCTATAAAGTAGGTTTGATCTCCTGTTTAGTCATCTCACATGGTGATAATCTTTAAAACACTTTAATCGATGCAAATTTTCCGTGTCTATCGAATGAGACGATTCACGATATGTGCTTTGTTTGACGAAATTTTGAAAAGTAGTGAAAATAATGTTATGTATCGATCGTTGTGAATATGCTTTAAAGTAGTTTTGATCTCCCGTTTACTCATGTCACATGGTGAAAATCTGTAAAACAGTCTAATTGATGCAGAATCTCCTTCTCTATCGGATGAGGCCATTTACGGTATGTGCTCTGTTTAACGATACTTTGAAAAGTAGTGAAAATCTTGTTATTTGTCGATGTTTGTGAAAATGCTTAAAGTGCTTTTGATCTCCTGTTTAGTCAAGTCACATGGTGAGAATCTGTAAAATAGTCTAATCGATGCAGAATTTCCTTGTCCATCGAATGAGATGATCTACGACATGCGTTATGTTTTTGGAAAATTCGAAAAGTAGTGAAAGTCTTGTTATTTTTCGATCATTGTGAAAATGCTTTAAAGTACTTTTGATCTCCTGTTTAGTCATGTCACATGGTGAAAACCTATAAAACAGTCAAATCGATGCAGAGTTCCCATGTCTATCGAATGAGATGATTTACGATATGTGTTATGTTTGACGAAATTTTGAAAAGTAGCGAAAATTCTGTTATTTATCGATCATTCTGAAAATGCTTTAAAGAAGTTTTGATCATCCGTTTACTTATGTGAGATGGTGAAAATCTGTAAAACAGTCTAATCGATGCAGAATTTCCTTGTCTACCGAATGAGAGTACTCACGATATGTATTATGTTTCACGAAAAAAGTGAAAAGTAGTGAAAATCTTGTTACTTATCGATCATTGTGAAATTGCTGTAAAGTAGTTTTGATATCCTGTTTAGTCATGTCACATGGTGAAAATCTGTAAAACAGTCTAATCGATGCAGAATTTCGTTGTCGATGGAATCAGACTAAGTGCGATATGTGTTGCGTTTGACGAAATTTTGAAAAGTGGTTTTCGCAATCATCGATAAATAACAGAATTTTCACTACTTTTGAATATTTCGTCAAACATAGCATATATCGCACATAGTCTGATTCGATAGACCAGGAAGTTCTGCATCGATAAGACTGTTTCACTGATTATCACCATATGACAGCACTAAACACGAGATCAAAACTACTTTAAAGCATATTCACAACGGTCGATAAATAAGAACATTTTCACTACTTTTCAAAATTTCGTCAAACATAACACATATCGTAAATCATCTCACTCGTTTTAGAGGTTTTCACCATGTGACATGGCTAAACAGGAGATCAAAAGTACTTTACAACATTTTCACAATGATCGATAAATAACAAGATGTTGGCTACTGTTCAAAATTTCGTGAAACATAACACGTAGCGCACATAGTCTCATTCGATAGACAAGGAAATTCTGCATCGATTACACTGTTTTTCAGATTTTCACCATGTGACATGACTTAACAGGAGTTCGAAACTACTTTAAAGGATTGTCACAGTGATCGATAAATAACAAGATTTTCACTGCTTTTCAAAATTTCGTCAAACATAACACATATCGTAAATCGTCTCATTCGATAGACAAGGAAATTCTGCATCGATTAGACTGTTTCACAGATTTTCACCATGTGACGTGACTAAACAGGAGATTGAAACTACTTTAAAGCATTTTCACAATGATCCTTAAATAACAAGATTTTCAGTACTGGTCAAAATTTCGTGAAATGTAACACATATCGTAGGTAGTCTCATTCGATAGACAAGGAAATTCTGCATCGATTAGACTGTTTTACAGATTTTCGCCATGTGACATGACTAAACAGGAGATCAAAACTACTTTAAAGCATTTTCACAATGATCGATAAATTATATTCGATAATTTTCTCACTTTGCTGTATGAAGGATATATAGTGCTGAAAGTGATGAGTATTTTCTCATTAACGATTTGATGAAAAGAGAAAAGTGAAGTGCAGATCTTGTAGAGCTCGTTGGGTTCTACCTGGGTCCGTTAAGAGTGGCGTTCTGTCTACCGATGGAGCGAATCGTTACACAATTTATTCATTTTTTCTAACGTTGCTCAATACGGGGTATAGAGCGATTGTTCCTAATTCGAACCACTTTTTAGCTAGTGAAAAGTTTTTGCTTTTTCCTTAAAATTTTCTTGGACAACGTATATTATTTTTTATACTACAAAGTGTAAAATCGTCTCGCGAGTTTAATGGTATAAAAATTATCTAGTTATCATCAAAACTAAGTGAGTTCTAACCGGTAGTTTGATGATAAGTTGTCTGGTTCGAATTAGGAGCACTGTTCCTAATTCGAACCACACATGAAATATATGTTC